CCTGTTTAGAACTTTGTGCCTTAAAAGAGTGACTGTGGATTTTTGTTCCAGGGAGACAACTCGTGCTCACCCTGCCATTTCTCCCTGGCAGTTTTCAGGCGAGGTTTATGTTCCTAGAAGTTGTCGTGTCTTCGTTCTCTTCTGGTATCATCCTCCGTCTTGGTCCCTCAGGAGTGGGTCAGGACAGCAGCTTCCCAGGTCTCTGCGTGGCACACAGGTGGCAGCGGCTCCTCTTTTGCCACAGGCATCGTCTCTGGGTCCCACGGGACAGCTGCACCTCCACCCAGCCTGCTGGGGGACCTGCAGAGAGAGCCGAGACTCTGAGTGGACACACAAGGGGCCTCAGGGCAGAGCAGCCAGAGTCGATGGCCACGGTCGCCAGCTCCCTCAGTCTCTTCAAGGACCAGGAGCCCCAGCACAGGATGCTCCATGGCCACCATAAGAGCGTGTCTGGGTCTCCTCCACTTTGTTTCTTCATTCTCCTGTCCAAGCTTTCTGCACAGCCGGGGGCACGGCATCTGGGGTGCCAGCATGCCCTCGTCCACAGCTCAGGGTCCTCATCGGGACAGGGACAACAAACACTCTGCCCGTGTCACCCCAGGGCCAGGACTCTCGCCCAGCCGGGGGGCTTCATCCAAGACCACACGCGGGCAAGGCCGGGCCTGCCGACCATGGTTCACCCACACACCCAGAAACTTAGCCTCTGAGTACCGGGAGGGTTATTTCCAATTACAGGTCAGGGCAGAGACACTAAGTAGCATTGGCTTGGAGAGCAGTGCCCAAGCCCTGCTGTGCACCCAGGTGCCCGAGCGCCATACAGTCCCCTGTGGTGACTGCTCTCTGAGTGTGGCCACCAGGTGTCAGAGCCACGAGGCAGGACACTGCTCATCAGCAGGAGACTGATCCCAGGATCAGTGCATTTTGATAAATGGGTTGTTGCAGAAAGTGAGAGCTGTTGATTTGTTTAGGGTCCTTTTCTGAAGCTCCCCCTCAACAGCACAACCTTCGCCATGGGGCTGACCTCTGTCAGCCGCTCTGCTGAGACTGTGTTTAGCTTCCACATGCCGGGCCCGGAGGATGGAGCTGGAGCCCTGAAGGACATAGGGACAGTCCTCACCCTCATTGATGCTCGTCCAATGACTCTGCGCTGAGAAATCGGAAATCGCAAACCACACGGAGAGCTGGCAGAGCAAGCAGGGAGGCCCTTTCAAACCATGGTGTCCGGAGGCCACTCTGAGAAGGTGACAGCCAGCGGGAGGCAGGGGCACAGGTCTCCCACTGCGTTTGCAGAGCAGGAAGGGACGCGATGTCGGTGCAGAGCTGGAGAAAGACGGCGCTGGAGAATTCCGCCCTGGAGTCTCCCCTCAGCTTCGTGAGAGGCCAGGAGCCGGAGGAGCCCAGTGGGCACATCAGGAACCTGGGATTTCCTCTGTGGGCCTTGGGAAGTCTTCTCCTGTATGCCCAGAAAGGAACCCCAAAGCAGCCAGGGGGACAAGGACTCCGACGTGGGATAGCCAGGAGCTGTGTGGTGGTGGGGGCCATCTGAGGGCTGGTGTGTGGCCTCCTGGCCATCGCGGCCTACTGCATGCAGGCACGTGCTCCAGGTGAAGAACCACCACCCCTGAGGCCAGCGAGTCCCATGCATCCCCAGGACCCCCCTGAGGCAGGAATGGGGCAGGGCTGACCGCCACCACTGGCTTTGGTGGAAAGACAAGCGTCTCAGTGCTGCTGCTGTAGGAGTTTGGGCACCGCCTCTTACTGATGGGCGGCTGCCACATTCTCTCGCGCAGAAGCCTGGTGCCTCGGGAAGGAGGCGGAGCTGTCACTGACATCCTTCCTGGTCAGCTGCCCGGGCCTCTGGGTGTGCCCCCAGGGTGACTCAGTGGAACATGCAACTCTAGTGCTGTCGCTGGGTCAAGTGGTGACCCTACCTGAATGGCATTCACCCAGGTGGGTGTGTGCACCCAGCCCAAGTTCCAGAAGGGTCCTTATGAGACAGGCTTTCTCGGAACTGTTTTCGGCTCCTCGGTTCCTGCTCAGGGTTTTCCCTGGGCAACCACCATTGATCCCCCGGGTTTCATGCCCATCCTGTAATGCCCCCATGCATGTGTCTAGCCCAGCTCTCCCCCAGGCCCTCAGTGCACCCCGCCCATGAGATGGGCCGAAGAGCGCAGACTGCCTCCTCACCTGTTGGTCCTGATCCAGTCCTGTCCTGCTCGTGGGTCCCCTCGCTCTGCCTGCTGTCCCACCCACCCTTTCTCCCAGCTGGGCATGGCTGCAGTCACCAGCCAAGCACAGTTTCCACAGCGCAGTGGGAAGGAGCTCTGAGAGGCAAAGGCTGTCTCTCTACCCTGGGCCAGACCTCCCCATGGCCTCAGTGAAGGCAGTGTTGGGGCACGCCCTGCAGTACCCACCCCACCACCCTCCTGGCTCCTCACAGCCTCGCTCCTGCTCCCACAGGGGGTTGCATGCACGTGCCCCACTCACACAGGGCCTCAGCCCCCCCACCCCCACCCCCACTTCACATGCTTCTTCCCCCCAGACCGAGATCCACAAGGTGGGTGCCCTGCCTCTGCATGTGGCCGGCCCGCAAACACAGCCAGAACTCACTGTCTCGGGCCACAGAGCACAGCTCCTCACCTGGTGGGGGTGTCCTAGGGCTGCTGTAACCACTCACCACTAAGTGGGGGCTTCAAACAGCAGGAATCTATTTCCCACCCCCCGCCAGTTCCAGAAACCAGAAATCTGAAATCCAGGTGTCACAGGGCTGTGCTCCTCCGGGGGTCCTAGGGGAGGGTCCATCCTGTCTCTTCCACCTCCTGGGGCTCCAGGTGTTCAGGCTTTCTCCAGCCCCCGCCTCCACCCTTACCCAGCCTTCTCCGCTTCTGTGTGTGTCACATGCCCCTCTGCCTCCCTCTTTTGAGGGTATATGTGATCACATGTGAGGCCTGCTGGGTAGTCCAGGATGACCTGGGCTACTGTCACCATTCAGATCCTTTTGCCTGACAAGGGTCCAAATAAGTGACCAGCGCTCTACCTCGTGTGCACCTTTCCTTACATGGCATATAAATCCCCAGACCTCTCCATGATACGACCTCCATATGTCTCCAGCACCATCCCCACCACTCCAGTGCTTGACTCTCCTCAGGAGGAGATCCTGGTTCTCACTGCTGTTCACAGGGCAGTGGCAGGGGACAGGTGCTGAAGGAAGCCATTGTCCACCGTGAGCCGGTGTGTGGGAAGGGGCACCTGGAGATGCCAGAGGACTGGGCTGTGGATGGGGCTGGAGCAGGGGAGGCAGCAGGCAGGGCCGGGAATGGTGCAGCCTGGGAGCCATATCCATGCTCCGGGGGGAGGGGGAATGGCTGGCGTGGGTGCAGCTGCAGGGCTCCGCACCATGACTTAAGCTGCATTAACACAGCAGGACTGAGCGGTTCGAAGAGGGCACAGGTGACATCAACGGAGGCCCCAGAGACACGTCGGCCTTGGTGAGGGCAGTGGAGGGAGTGGTCTGCAGCGAGACCCAGGTCAGTGGCAGGGCCCAGGACAGGCAGCAGCGCCTTGCTCCGCTGGGTCCCTGGGCCCGTCAGGCCAGTGAGATCAGGGTCAGGAAGCCCCTGGAGGGACCCGGATGCCAGCACGGCCTCACCCTGGGCAGTGGACGGATGTGACGGACGTGAATAGACTGGGGCCACTCTCTGTATCTAGACGAGGGGCAGCTGGCAGTTGGGAAACTGGTGGCAGGCCGTGCATCTGTCCAGGGCGAAGAGCACACATCCAGGGCCAGGCTGCACGGCTGCAGAGGGAGAAAGGCAGCACAGGCCTGGCAGGCTTAGAGCAGGCTGTGCCCTCCCCGGTCCCCACAGCCCACCTTGTCACCTCACACCTGTGCGTCAGGCTGCCCCAGCGCCGCGGCACAGCTTCCTGAAGCCTCTCGCTCCTTACGCGTCCTGTCAGCACAGGAGAGGGATCCCCCACGCTCGCAGCCCTGTGCTCCTGGAGCCCGGCCTTCCCGCTGCACTATAAATAAGCCCATCCAAGCACACCCATCCGTCTTGTTTAATAGACTGGAGAGCGCCCTGCGCCGCGGCAGGTCTCGAGGAGTGGTGAAGTGATGGATGGCTCCTTCCTGTGTCAGACGGCATGATGTATAATGAAATATTTATGATTTATTTCAGCTAATAACCCAGCATAAAGTGTAGGGTGTGAGGGCAGACAGGTGAAACAGCACTGCTTGCAGAGGGTGGCATGGGGGTGTCCCCTTGTGCACATGCCACACAATCACACTCGTGTGCTCGCACAGCCCACCTCCCCACTCCCTTGATGCCCCAGGCTTGAGTGCAGACCTCCAGCTCCTCGTCGTCCTCCACCCCCCCCGCCCCTCTCATACTAGGGGTGCCTGAGAAAGGACACGGGACCTGCAGCAGGGGAGGGCCCCTGCCACCGTGGTGCCCAAGAGCAGCAGGTGGGCAAGCAGGCAGTCAGAGGATCAGAAAGGTCCTTTCCTCCTGTCAGAGACCCACACGGCACCTCGAGTAGCCTAGGAGAGGGCACCCGGTCAGGAGAGGGTCCGTGGTAACCCCCGGCACCCCCAGGGCCCTGCCACAGCTAGAACCCCGTAGCAGACGTGTTGAGGCAGCTGGTTCTCGCGTTTCTCCTCTGCACTCTTGGACTTGAGAGACAGCGGTGGGGCACTGGGGGGTGACAGCGTGGGTCCCAGCCGTCCTGCCTTCACGGGGACACAGCCAGAGAGGGCTGTCCTGGTGTCCACGTCGCAGACTGAGGTCACAGCCACTGAGCTCTGTGCTTACAGCCTTGCCCCAAAGTTGCCCCCCACACGGCCAGCGTACCAGTGGCACTGATGCTTGCAGATGCAGGTGCCCACTGCCCCCCACCCAGATACACGCATCCTCTGTGCCTGTCCCCACAGGCACAGGGACCGAAGCAGGCTGAGCCACGGCCCCAGCATGCCTTCTGGTGACCAGAGCCTCTTTCCTCAGGTGACACAGCCGTGTTCAAGGATGGCAGCTACTGGATCCGGGGGCGCACGTCAGTGGACATCATCAAGAGCGGCGGCTACAAGGTCAGCGCCCTGGAGGTGGAACGGCTGCTGCTGGCCCACCCGAGCATCAAGGGTGAGTGGCCGTGGTGCTGCTGGGTCAGCCCGGCTACACTCGGTCCAGACCCGCTGTCGCAGGAACATGCCAGGCGTGTTTTCCTCTGTTTGATTATAGCTGGAGCAGGGACCAGGTTGTCCCACTGCGGGACACCACACAGTGGGGCTCTGCCTGCCCCACATCACGGTGGGGATCTGGCACCCCACACCTCAGTGCAAGGGCGTGGCAGAGACCCCCTGCTCAGAATGACGGCGTGCTCAGGTGAGCCGTTGGCTGAGCGTCCTGGGCAGGACCGCAGGCTGAGGCTGTGGGTGCCCATCGAGGACGTGTGGGCTCCACCCAGACCTCCTGGCCTGGGGTCTCAGGCTGCGAAGACCCTGAGATGGCAGAGGCAGCTCCTGTGGACCCAGGCCCAGTCATGTCACCAGGACTGCCCCAGACGGCCTGTCCACGGGAGCCCGTAGGGGTGGGGGCAGAATGTTCTGGGCATCTAACTGTCCTCAGCCCTTTCATCAGCGACTGCCCCCAAGGAAGGGCAGGAATGGTGGGCAGGCCCTCTCCCCGCCCCCCCCAGCCCTGGCCCCACATAGACACTATGGGGAGCCCGTCCTCGTCTGCCCCCAGCGAGACCGCTGCGCTCCCTACGGCTGCTGGGAGCTGCTTCCCAGCACTTGCTCCAGGGGCCCCGCACCCCCCCCCCACACACACCCCCTGTGTTTCCTCCGCGTTCCTGGCTACTTATAGCCAGCAGTGGTACCTCAGCATTTAAGGTGCCCCACCCTGTTCTATCCACAGATGTGGCTGTGATTGGTGTTCCAGACATGACATGGGGCCAGCGGGTCACCGCAGTGGTGACACTTCAAGAGGGACACTCACTGTCCCACAGGGAGCTCAAAGAGTGGGCCAGGTAAGGGCCGGGCAGGCAGGGCCGGGGAGGGCTGGTGGGGCCAGGGCGAGGGGTGGGGGAGGCGGGAGCTGCCCCGCCTCAGAGGCAGGGACAGGCAGGGGCGTGGACTGTGCTTCGGTCTGGGGGCCCGTGCGGCCGGGAGTCCTGGGCCTCGCTGTTGTCCATCTTTAGGGAGACCTGAGAGGTCAGGCAACATGGTACTTAGACAAGGCCACCCCGACAAAGGGCTCCCGGGAGACTCTGACCGAGGCTGAGGCAGGTCCGGAGCCCTGCGTGCTGCCGCCAAGGGGCCGGAACACTTGAGGGGAACAGGAGCGCCTGCTCCCAGCCGCGTGGCTCCAGTCCAGGGCCAGAGGAAGGGTCTGAGGCGGCAGAAACATGTGCCCCTGGACGCCCCCCCACCCCCCGCCCTGCCCCGTGGTGAGCCAGCAAGTTCCCCCCCGGGGTTTAGGAGCAGTCTGGCCGGGGGGGGAGCGGCCAGGGAACCTGCAGCCGAGACCCAGAGCGCCCAGCCTGGCCCCAGGGCCCTGGGGTGAGCCAGTGCCGAGGGCCTTCCTGCGCCCCTCCCACCTCAGCCATGGCACCCACCCCTCAGCTGCGCTCTAAACCATGGGCGCTGAGCGTGGGGCATTTTCATGTGTCCCTTGGGTGCTCCCTGCCCACCCAAGGCCAGAGATCTGCCCTCCCTGTGAGGGGCCAGCCCCCCACAGCAGAGCAGTCCCTGTCTCCCCCTCACCCTGCATGAGGGTTGCCCTTGTCCGACCCTAAACCCTCCCCTGGGCCTTTCTGCCGTCTGCCCAATCCCGGTGGTGTCTGAGTCCCAAGGCTCACAGGCCCCTCTCCTGTGCCACAGAGTTCAGGGGTCAGTCCCAGGGCTGAACCCAAACCTCCTGTCCCATCCTTGTCCAAGGCTGGACAGGAGAGGACAAGGAGGAGGGTCTGAGGGAACCACAGAGCAACAGAAAGGAGGCTGCTAGTAATCTCCGCCGGCTTCCTTAATCTTAGATCTGAGAATTTCCTCCTCCCTGTCCCCTCTCCCCGCACACCCGCTCCAACCCAACTTGCCTCTTTCTCGGTGCTAAAGATATTTTTGGCTTGTCCAACATGATTTCACAAACAGTAGGAATCCTTGTTTCATCAGGGGTGGCACAGCTGGGCAATTAGATTCCTGGGATTTGCAGAAGCACGGTTGGAGCAGTGCCGCTTAACAAAAGAGGAGAAGCCGCTCTGATTAAACAATTACTCTGTTAACCACTGCGGGGGGGCGGGAGGGGGGTGTATGTATGAGAGTCTGTGCCCTGTCCCGAGAGCTCCCTAAGTCTCAGGTCTGAGTCCACAGCCTCTCACTAACCTCAGGCGGGCGCCCACACTCCTGTCACGGATCCCCACTCCTCCACGCCCTGTGCTCGTCCCCCCAGCCCCCAGCAGGGTCCTGCAGTGACGGTCACAGCGTGTGACCATGGGTATGAGGAGACTCTGAAATGGTGCCGTGTGCAGAGAATTTGGGGGCGCTCTGGGGAGATGCTCCTAGGGGGCGGGACTGAGCGGAGCCGGTGGCCACCCTGTGTGCCCCCGTGAGGTCTGTCTCGGACTGAGGCCGGCATCTGGGCCGTGTGTCCTCAAATCGGGCAGTCGCTGGGTGGTAACACAGAGGCTGCCCACCCCACGGAGCCACCCTCTGCGTCCCTGTGAGTGCGGGGGCGGGGGGGGGGGGGCGGGGAGTGGCCCCCGTGCCCCCCGCGCTCCGACTCTTGGATGCTGCTGCTTAGCAAGGCTGCTGCTTCCTTCTACGTCATGTTTGCCACCATTCGGGGTCTTTTTTGAAGAATTTGAAAAATAACGTTTTCCCTTTTACTGCCATTTTTTTCATTTCTGAAGATACTTGCCACCCCCTCAGTCTCTCTGCTCCCCAAGTAAAGGGCTGTCCTCCTCCCAGACAAGGACACTATACTTTTAGAAGGAGTCAGGAGGCTGGCAGCCCCAGCTCGGCTGACACGTCTCCCCGCGGGTGGGCGCGTGGCCTCAGAGCCGGGTCAGTCACACACATCACCACATGCACGGGGTCTAAGCCACAGACAGCCTGCTACCCTCCCATCCCCGCCACTGCCACGTGGAAATGGGCCAGGTGGGACTTACACACCTGGGGAGAACCCTCAGTGCCACCGGCTGATCAGACCGTGTGGAGTAATGAGCAGTGGCTGAAGTCCTGTCCCAACCGCGCCCCACCGTCCCTCCTCCGAGGAGGAGGAGAGTGTGGAAGGCGGTACACTGTCTGGGTGGGTTTCTTCACAGGGAAACTCGCTCTTAACAAACAGCTCGGCTTTGCTGGATTCCTGTCCCAGGTCTCGCTTTGCCTCGAGGCAGCAGTCCTGAGAGCTTCATATTAGACCAGTTGCTAAGCTGGGACCCTTGGAGGAAAACAGGCCTGGCTCACAGACTCTGTCCCGACGTGAAGGTCTCCTTCCAGGAAGGACCACTGTTCTTGGAAATGGCGGGGTCTGCAGACTTTACACCTGCATTCTTCACAGCGCCTTTAGGTCACTTTTTTCACTTTTATAGCTTTTGTTCCCTTTTGTAGTGGTTGCTAAGGTAGGGCTGTGGGTGTGAGTCTCTGACCTCAGCACAGTCTCCCTCCCACAGTGACGTCGGCGCCTTCGCGCACAGGTGGCCTGTGTGCTGCTGCTGCCCTGCGTCTGCTTTTGTACTTGTCACACAGCCACAGCACGCTCCTTCATTTTTGTTCGAATGGCTGTCTCCGAAAGAGAACTCAGTGGGAAGGAAGCGGTGGCTCTTCCCCTCTCTGCCGCTTTCCTGCCCCGGCTGGCCCTCGGCTCCCATCTGGGGCGGGTCTGTGGGCGAGGAACTGTCAGCGTCTGTGTGTCTAAAACTGCCTTGCATTTCACTTTCATTCTCGAAAGGTACTTTCTCTGGACATGGGATTCTCAATTGACTGGCTTTTCTTTTAGGCCCTGGGGAATGGTGGCCCACTACCTTCTCACCTGCACCGTTCGTCTTGGGAGTTGGCCATCATTTTGGGCCCCTTCTCTCTGCACCCTGGCACCCAGCTCACTGCTGGCATGGCAAAAGGAAGCCGGGCGTGGGCAGAGCCACATATGATGTGCCACCCGGACACCACTAGAGACACTAAGTTTTGGCAGCCAGGCTGTGGAGCAGGGGGCAGCTACATTCCAGGGGCAGGTGGGGGTGTTGGGCCCTAGGGCCTCACCCTGCCACACTGTCAGGGTCCCCAGGCCAGTCCTGGTGGCTTGTCCAGCAAAGTCCAGCCTTGCTCCGCATGTTGTCTCAACCCTAGTGGGCAGTCCCACTGTGTCCTGCAGCTGCCAGGACCACAGGTGGTGGCAGTGTCTCCTCATGAGCCAGCAGCGGCCTACACCCTGAGCACGGCCAATGGGAGCCACATCACAGCCCTTGGCCTACAGCAGTCTGTGTGCGCAGGAGCTGGCTTGAGATAGCAGCATGTTCAGGACTGCATTGCTGCTGCTTTCTGCCTGTGGGCAGATGGACCCAGCCTGCAAGGGCGATTAGGCTCATGTTTATTCATAAGCACCTGGCTGCTTAGGTGAGATTTGGAGTTTCTCTTACATCCCTACCACTGGCTCCTTGCTACAACTCAGTCTCAATGACCAAGGCTGCCCCACAGCTACAGCCTGGAGAGCTCCACCCTCCTGTTGGCCCTAGGCAGACACTGGGGGGCCACGTGTCCTGCACCCCACTATCTGCATCACTCCGGCCTGGCCTAAAGGTCTTTGTCAGCAGCCCCAGAGGCTGGACCCCTATGGCCCAGGAGGCCAGGAACCATCACCCCAGGCAGCATCCTGTGCTTCTGCAGTTTCCTTACCGAGGGGCATGTGGCCCCACATGTGGCTATTAGAGGGCAGGAGCAGGCAGCTCTTGTCTGCCCAGAAAAGGCCTCGAGAGGGAGGGTGTGGGCCTATGGGTGCAGGACCCCAGCAGGTGGCCCCACATGGAGAACACATGTAATGGGGTGCCCCTTGTGGGAGTGGGGGGTGCTGGGCTTTGGTGCAGGGAAGCCACCGTCTCTGCCCGTATGGCCAAGGCTGCTGCAGTGACCAGGGTGCAGAATGGGACTGGCTCTTTCCAGCTCCAGGAGACCTGGCCCCCCAGTCCTGGCGGGCAGAGGGGCATTTCTGGGTTAGTGTTCCCTGCAGCAGGGCACCCTCCTGTGACAGGCAAAGACATGGCTGGGCTTCTGGGCCCAGACTCCCTGCCGCTCAGGCCACACTTGTCTCTGCAGAGGCGTCCTGGCCCCGTATGCTGTGCCCTCGGAGCTCCTGCTGGTAGAAGAGATCCCAAGGAATCAGATGGGGAAGATCAACAAGAAGGACCTCGTCAGGCAGTTCTACCCGCACAGCCAGGGAGCGTCGGAGGCCAGGCACCCGTGACCCAGCGTCTGCTTTGAACCAGAACCTCCCTTTTGAGCACAACAGAGTCCAACCTGATGGGATGAGATCGAAGCAAGAAGCCTCTGCCCTGTCCTTGTCCTGCACCCACAGCCTTCTCTGACCCTTGCGCCCCGAGGCTGCTGGGCAGGTCCCGGCGGGGGGGGGGTCCAGCTGTCACCCCGGGGGTGCAGGTCTTCAGAGGAAATTCAGTAAAGCTGCAGGGAGAAAGAGAAAAGAGTGCCTGTGCTGTGCTGTCTGCCCAGGGCCTGCGTGGGGGCCATGCTCCAGGTGCAAACAATGTACTTGCCTGCACACACGTGCGTGTCACACAGCACAGGAAGTCTCCCACTCTCTAGGATGCCCGTGTCACTGCCCGATGTGACCTGCGACCCCTACAAAGCCTCCTGGTTGAACCCTGACCGTTCTGAGGAGCCCACCCTGAGGGTGGGCCTGGTGTCCAGGTGAGGGGGTTTGGGCTTGCCGTCATCTCTTTTGTCCTCCCTGGGATTTCCCTGTGTGGCTCTGGGACAGCGCACATCTCAAGGTGGCATCATTATGCTCCTAGAAGCCCGGTGGAGGCTCATGTAGGTCTTCAGGGTCAGGCTGACCACCGTGGGGACAAAGCCCAGGGATCCGGAGGGCCAGGGAAGCCAAGTGCCTAGACCTCTCCGGGGAGCTGCGTGCAAACCCTCAGCCCCCACAAAGGGAGCCTTCTAGACTACGGGCCTCAGGCTTCTGGGATGGACAGGGGGTCAGTCTTCTAGTCTCTGTGGCCACATGGTCGCTCTCAGAACCACTCGCCTCTGCTAGAGTAGCTTGGGTCCCACTGCTCTCCTCCAGAGTCCAAACCCTCCCCCGCAGAGTCCAGAGGCTGCCTGCCGTGGCCCTGCAGCTGTTCCACCTTGACCCTTAACCCCCACCCCCTCCATGCTGCTCCCTCCATACACCCCTGCACCCCCTAACCCCTCCTTTCAGTCTTTGTCCAAATACCACCTTCTTCTTCCCAGATCCCCCCAAGGCACCCCTCACTCCCCGCTAGACAGGCCCTGGCCCCCACCGTCCCCACACCACCGAAGAGTGAGCCGTGTGTCAGCGTTCCCTCTTCCCGCTCTTGGCATTGACTCGGACACCCGGGCGCCCCTGTGTGCTCTGAGCAGAGAATCCAGAAGCTCCTGAAGTTTACCAGAGACCATGGTGGCTCCCCTGGCCAAAACCGGTGGGAAGTGGCACTCACAGCACCTCAGGAGTCTGGCCTTGGCTGTCCCCGAAATGTGTGTCTGAAAGAGCGGCAAACTGTGGGGGATGGGCGCTGGAGGAATCACCCCGCCCGTGCAGGGGCGCCGGGCCTTGTCGAGAGGCTGTAGCTGGTGAGGGGCAGCGGGCCTGGACCGTTCTCCCCACCCTGGCACTACACGCAGCGTGTGATGCCTCCGGGCCTGATGTCGGGTGTGGCGTGCACTCAGAGGGTCCTCCAGCTCCACGCTCCCTCCTGCCTGCAGTCTGGACACGCGTGCCAGCCACCCACCTACCAAGCAGGCCGCCCTCAAGGGGCTCAGCGGCTGTGCCCACAGCTGGCTTCTCTCAAGGGCAGCCCTCAACACCCAGACGACACCTGGGCCTCCCCCCGTCCTTTGACCTGTGGGAGCGAGGGAGCCACGGAGCCACGCGCAGCTGAGCCCAGCCAGGCTCGACCCTGCAGGGTCTTTGCTTGATCCCAGTGACCTGACACTGTGTGTCTCAATACTCCAAATTTTATTTCCTCAAAATGTTTATGTAATTATTCACTTTATGCTATAATCTATATCAAATACTTTCACAAAGTAGCAGTCATCTTCAGCAAACAGCAAGGCTGCAGAAGGATGTTGTTGGTTTGTCCTTGGAACAGGTCTCCGTGAGGTACAGAACCCTGGGCTCCACTTGTTAGATCAATGTGACCGAGGGTCACGAGACTTCCAGAAATTTCCCCCTTGACTGAAACTCCCCCCGCCCCCACACTCACACCGGGGGCAGCCCGCCCACCCTTCACTCAGCTCCCACAGGAAAGCCGGGAGCAGGCACCCTGGGAGCGGAGCTGTGGCAGCCCACCTGCCTGCAGCCTCACTAGGTGGGGCCGAGCTGGGTCTGGGCTTGTCTGCGGGCATCCTGGGGTACCCGGGGCTGCTGGTGGGGGCTGCTGCTCAGACAGGCTGCCTCCTCGGGGCAGAAGGAAGGTGCGCCCTGCCTGCAGGGTGCGGCAGGACCCCGAGTAGAGGGAACACCCCTGGCTCCACCGGTCCCCGAGTCCTGCCGCATCCCTCCTTCCGGACGTGTGCTCGCCGGCAGCTGGCATCTGTGTGTGCAGGCCCAGAGGACCAGCCAAGGTAGGAGAACCCCCGGGGGGTTCTGCGACGGGCTTGAAACAGCCACGGAAATGTCGAGGCCAGAACCTCCCAGGCCCCCCCAGCACTCAGGCCCGTACCCTCCCTGCCGGGCTCCCCTGTTCTGTGATCGGAGGCTGGTGCTTCTCTGGGCTCTCGGGGTCCTGAGCGGGGACTGAGGGCTCTGCTTCGTCAGAGGTGGAGTCTGGGGCTGGCGGCCCCACACAGTTGCCCACCTAGGAGCTCCCCCACCCTCCTGGCTCCCCAGAGGAGGCCCCAGCAGCGTGTCAGGGCCGGGGTGGAGTTCGCGCCACTGGGGCCAGCAGAGCCCAGGCCCCCAGCGCCCACTGCCCAGGCACCAGGCATTTCCGTATCCACCCAGCCACTGGCACTGCTCACACCTGTGCCTAATCACCGCTCTGGCCCTGCAGCCACGCCCACGGCCTGAAGTCCCGACGGTCAGGGAGGCACCCAGGCCTGCCTCGAACCCACAGCCACTGTGGGCGCATCCCAGCCTTTGGTGTCTTCCCCCTGGTAAGACATGGGCCTCGCCCTGCCACCTTCACACTTGGAACCTAAAAACGCCCTCACCTGGGCCAGCTTCCCCTGGAACTTTCTCCCTCGTCCCTCCCAGAGTTGGGGAAACAGCAGGGAGAGTCACAGGCGCGGACACACAGCCAAGACCAGAACGCGGACTCGGCTCCGGACCTCAGGGCCAGCACAGGTGCACGCGTCCTGGGGTGAGTCCCCACCCCCGAGGGCCAGGGGGTCAGCTCTCCAGCTGTGTCCGAAAGCAGAGCTGCCTACCAGTCTGGTCCCCACTGCGGAACTGGGGTCCACTGGCAGCCCAGGGCCCCTGGGGAGCAAGACCCCACGTCTGCTCAGAGCAGGGGCGGGGAGGGGCCCAGCTAGTGCCTGGAGAGCCAGGTCTTGGGACTCTAAGGCTGGGGTTCCTGCCTGGGGGTGGGGGTTCTGGAGATTGTCGCTGCTCCAGTCTATTGGGGGCAAAGTGAGACAATCATGCAGGAAATGGCAGCTCAGTACCCAGTTTTTAAAATTTATTTATTTTAAATCCTCACCCAAGGACATTTTTTATTGTTTAGAGAGAGAGTCATCAATGTGAGAGAGAAACATTGATCGATGGCCTCCCATATGCGCCCCAACTGGGGATTGAACCCACAAACCAAGCATCAATGTGTGCCCTGACCGGGGATCAAACCCACAGCCTTCTGGTGTATGGGACGCCGCTCCAACCGAGCCACCGGCCAGGGCACAGCACCTGGTCTTAGACGAGAACTGTGTGAAAACAGGTGCAGTGCCAGGCTGACTGCAGCCAACAGTGAATAAAAATACTGCCTACAGGTGCACACACCACACACACACACACACATGCACTCTGTGACAACCCCCAAGTTTTGGGGCTGAGTGAGACCAAGATTATGAAACCGTCTTCCGAGAGTCCCTGGAATCGCCTTAAACTCTGAAATCTGAACTCTTTTCCTGCTTTATGTTCAGTTTTTACATCTAAAAAATTTTAGTGCTGCCCTTCCAGCACTAAACAGTAAGTTTGAAAATGGCAGCTCAGTTCTTAGAGGTCCTGTGATGTGACCTCCCTCTGGGGGCCCTGGGCACCCCCATCCTGCCCACCTCCTCCTGTTTCTCTTTACTCCCTGGGCCTCTCCGTGTGCCCACCTTACCCTCCAGCCTCTGGGCGGAGCTGTGCCAGAGTTCTCCATAGAACCCCCAGAACGCCCCGGCCCTCCTTAGCCCCTTCCCCATTAGTGCCCTCCCCACCTCTCACCCCCATATTCCCCTCACCACCCGAGGTCCCCCTGCCCCATCCTGCACATTCAGCCCCTGTCCCCCGACTCGGTGTCCTCAGTGGCTGTAGTGGGGCCTCTCTCTGCCTCTCTGGTCAGGTGCTCAAAGTCACCTTTGTCACTGAGGTCCTGTGTGCACTGCTAGGGCTGCCTGGTGGACCTTCCAGAATCTCTCCGAGCCAGAGCAGCCCGCACTTCGCCAGGACCCCTGCACCCTGCCTTGGGCCCTACGGGGCCGGCTGTGCCTTCCCACCGGGCTGTGAGCACTGGTCAGACCAGCCCTTTATCCTGCCTGCAAGAGTCAAGTGTATCCTTTGTTAAAACATCAAGGATGCAGTAAATTCTGAGCTCACCAAATAGATCAATATCAAATTATCATGTCCCACATTCATAACTCTCGCGCACACAGCAGCGGGGGACAAGGTCACTGGAGAACAAATAGCAGCAGAGGCGCTTCGTGATCCGTCACCGCAGACAGCCGCAGGCGTCCTGTGTGGCGCTGACACGGCCATTAATAAAGCGGGGGGATGGATGACTGCAGGGAAGGGCCGGGCCACCTGCCTCACACGGGGGAGACTGCCTCAGCCCCACCGAGAGGCGGGGAGGGGCTGCCCTCGCCTGAACACAAGGGAGAGGGGCATGGGAGTCCCACCCAGACCCCAGCATGTTCACCAACCTGATGGCACCAGCTGCTCTCCTGACCTCGGGGGCCGTGGGGGGGCGAACACCTCATGGGTGTGCTCTCAGCCCATTTTACAGATGGAGAAACAGGCCCAGTGAAGTAAGCAGCTGTTCCAGGGCCTCAGGAAGAGAAAGGCTGTGGCATAGCCCATGCTATTTGGGCCCAAAGCCCTGGTTCCTCTGCCTTGAGCAGCTCTGTCCGCGGGAGGAGACCAGACACACAAGTAACCAAACCAAGCTGCTGACGGGCCCTATCATCGTGCATGGTGGGCCCTGGGTGGGTGGCGGGCACTGCCTTGAGAGCACTCCCAGAAACGCTGTGGGAGCATCCCAAAGGAAGCGGCATTTGAGCTGGTCTTGAAGCCC